GCGCACGTCCCCTCTCGTGGCCCGCGGGACAGGGCCCGCGGCGCGGGCAAGCGTGGCCGCGGTGCCGTCCCCGTCCCCGCGCGCACGGCGGCCTCACGGGCATTACTTCACGAGAAGGGAGATGGCCCCGTGCACGCCGAGGAGGAGGAAGGAAGATCGGCGATGCTAAAACAAATAAAGCACAAAACAGGCCTGCTGGAGGAAAGCGCTCGGGGTAGAGGAAGAGCAGCGTGGGCTTGGTGGGATTTTTTTTTTAATTTTGTTTTATTTTAAGACTTGTTTTTTCTCTTCACCTTTTTGGTGCGGTCGGGATCCTTGCAGAGCCCAAGTGTGGGGAGCAGGAGGGCCTTTCCCGAGCCGCCTTCACTCCCCATCCTTCTCCAGCGTGGCTGGAAGATTTGCTAACGGGAGGTCCTGGAGGCCACTGTGGGTCCTGGAGGTCACTGGACCCCCACGAAGGTCCTCTGAAGAACGCAAGTGGCTTGCTCACGGCAATGGATTCGCTCTTAGCAAGGCCAAAATGGGAGCAGGGGCAAAGAAGGGGTCCAGTAAAAACATCCGGAGGCTGAGGGAAGGGGTCTCAAGTGCTCCGGCCCCATGAGGTCCCAACTGTTGGCCAACATCAGCCAACTCCAAGGGCCCGACCTCCCGGGCTGCACGCAGGAACCCCATCTCGCACCCCTTCTGTCTCCTCACAATGAGGAGACAACAGCGGTCGCCTTCACCCTTCCATTTTCCTCCTAAATGCCACAATGGCGATGGCGAATGTATTCCTCCCTATCCTTTTATTTTTTTTATTTTTTTATTTTATTCCTTAAGTCCTGGTTACAAGCTGTTGACTCGTAGTGGGAGGGTGATTCACAGAAGCTGACATTATAAATATTACAATAATTTAATGCATAAAATGTCCCCAATAAGCCTTAAATGTTGTTTAAAAGCCCATGTTACCTATGAGTCAGGCGAATTTCCATGTTTGCACTTAATTGCACCATTACTTCGGTTTTGGCTTCAAAGGTCACAGTTAAGTCGTGCTACGTGTTTTATCGGAGTGACCCCAGTGTGAGCTCAGGGAACAAAAAACCCCCGTGTGAGCCCGGGGAAAAAAAAAAAAAAAAAAGAAAAAAAAAAAAAAAGGAATTCACTGAAACTTTTGTTGTTGTTGTTTTTTAAAAATAAAAAAAAAGTTTTAAAAAATATATATATCAAAGAAACCTGGGACACTTCTGCAACTGGTTAAACCCATCACTTTAAACAAGAAAAAATACAAAATCCTTGCAATTGTCAAACAAATCAGTCAAGCAGTTTTGTGGATGCCAAAGAATCTTTTTTGACAGTAAAGCAGCACAGCCAGATACCGGACCCTTGTCACGATGCGAAAGTGGAAGTTACTTTAGCACCCAAGGACTCCAGCCACACTCATGCGCCGCTGCCGCGGCTTTCGGTTCCAAGCTTGCGCCGAGGG